AGAAAGAAACCCCACACTGACCCTAGTTTGCCTCTCATCTAGGCACCCCTCCTCCACAGGATCCTCATCAGCGAGGGGTTCCACAGCAGCAGCCCCTCCCCACACCAGCTTTTAGACCTATTTAGAGACACTTAACACACTACACACAGTGCCTCACTTAGCAGCTCCTGCCCAGGGTTACATCCTTCTTTCCTGGCAGAGCACATGCAAATCAATGGGCTGCTTGGGTTTTGGATTGGTTTTTTCCCCCTCGCTGAGGAGCCTCAATTTCCATTCCAAGGCAGAGTCGTGCTTCAAACACACAGAGTAGCATATGTTATTTTTTCACCTACCAATCAAGATGCTAGAAGAAACCAGCCTGGTACTTCTATATCTGTCATTTCATAAATGCTAGGCAATACCCTAGAACTGTCTTCATTGCAGCATCCAATCTGTCCCCAGCAGACAGCCCAAGAAAAGGAAGCTATACTGTTGACAGAAAGGAGCCAGGCTACAGCAACACAAAGGCTTCCTCTTAAACTCATTTCAGTGGCTAGAAACAAGGAGAGCAAGTTTGTAACTTGTCTTTAACACTATCTGCACAAATGTCCCTGAAGAGTTCACACAAAGTAAATCTGGCTACACCAACTCTGCACCCACTTGACAGAATCCTAAAGGGTCCACATGCAACTATGACAACTCCTGACAGTTTCACACCAATAGGGCCAAAATGGAAAAGGAGAAGCAGCACATTTGGCCTGTAGTTATCTGACAGAGAGAGACACAACTAAAGGAACTGGTTCCAAAGGCAACCTGTGGCATTATGGGGCAGCGAGACCCCAGGAGCTCCCCAGGAACAAAGGGTTTGCTAGCCAAGTAAGTTTTGCTTCAGAGGACAAGGGGACAGACAGACAACAGCAGCAGTTCTCAGAATAAGCCTTGCCCCAAAAGTGCAAAACTAAGTTACAAATTCTCAAAGCAGTCTTTCAGTCAAATATATTTGAGGAGAATTAAGTTCCCTTCAATTTAGGGAGAGCTCATATCTTAAAATGCACCAGAGGCGCAATCTTCTAAAAATGTTTTTCCTGCTATGTCTTACTGTTTAATTATATATTACCACTCCAAGCTACCATGACAGATTTTAAGTGAGTTTGTCTTTTTTCCATAATTAATCATAGCAAAGACTCATCTGTTTTTCAAACCCGTGATGACAGCACTGTTTTCACCACTGTAAGGCAATCATCCCACAGCATTCCTTCCCGAAAGCTATTGCAATGAGGAAAGCTCTCCTATCTGCACAAGATGCTTTCAAAGATATAAATCAGCTCCACATATATTACTTCATACTACAGGTAAGTTAATAAAAAGAAAAACTGCTTTTCCATAGCAAACCATTATACAGACACACAGGCATAGCACAGGCTAATAATGCTAAATAACACCAATTATAAATATATAAACCTAGCATAACCATCAAGAACAAGTATCCTACCCACTAAACACCACTCAGCCATCAGCATCCACCACTGGTGCAGGAAGAAGGGAGGCAAACAGATCATTCATCGTTCTAAGAAGCAGCTTCCTTTATAAACACAAAAACCAGAAGTTATTTTATAAGCAGCTTTGGTCACCATCAAATACTATTCTAAGTACAGAAGAGGTCTCTTCAAAGATAACCTTAAGCTACATGTAGACCAGTACTAACAGGCTACTAAATCAAAGATGAGCCATATCCAAAGCAGAAAATAAAAAATAATAAGTGGACAACAGGAAAGTCTTTTTTTTTTTTTCATCACAAGTCACAGAAGTGATATTAAGAGCATAGAAAATCTCTGCTCTGGAAAAAATCAAGTACTTATCACTTGTAACAGATTATAGCATATTCATTTAAAGTTTCTTTGCAGACCACTGAAGGAAAAAGTGTTTCCAATATAATCAATAATTGATGCCTATTCAAAGTGTTTTATCCTTCATCCTCTTAGTTTGAGAGGAAAGAACAAATGAGATACTTGCAAAATTACTTTTTCCCATCTGTGAAATCCCATGGCAAACCCCCTCTTTTTTTTTTTTTTTGTAAAAGTGACAAATGGAAATCCTGTTAATTTATTTTGATCAGTCTATAGAGAAATCATGATTTTCTGCAGTTTTCCTAAATCCTTCATGTGGCACACTGGCAGCTTCCCAATTACAAGTCTAAGAAGAAACTGCATAGCTTTTTCTGCTAATAAAAACAAGCATAGATGGGCCCCACACAGCCCTGAGCAGGTGTAAAACTTTATGTATCTTAATACATAAGAGTGACTTTAGATCAAAGCTCAATAACCAACACACTGCCTGTATTGACAGTGCCACCTTTATAGCTTTCTAGCTGCTTCACAGTTTTACAAAACAACATAACTTAAGCAGCAATGACTACAAAAAAAAGACAATATAGTCAGTTGACAGGCTGCTAAAGACTAAAGTTTACACTTGTATCCAAATATTTAGAAACATTTTTACTAGTACCACTCTTTGTTAAGGTCTGACCCAGAAAGATTCTGGCATTTCGAATTACAATTTCCTTCCAAGTTGTTACAAGAAAAACAACAAAAAAGACTTAGCCTGTAGATCTTAAACATCACTTCTAGAACATGAATGGTTTTAAATAACCACAATATCCTGACAGCTTGGTGATCTGTTCAGAAGAGATTAAGATAAACATTGAAATACACAAACAGAGAATTGCCCAGGAGAGCGCAGAGAAAGTGATCTTTACACAGGACATTATACATCTATCTTCTTTTATTTACAAGAATAGAATAAACGTTTTCAGCATGCTTATTTAAAAATGCATAGGAATAATACATGCTAAAAAAATATTATGACATATTAAATCACTTGATTGCATATGAAATCAGAGTGTTTTTTTCACCCACTGTGTTTTCTGTATTTTATTTATTCAGTGAAAATATTCAGTGCAAATTTGCATGTGCTCCCTAACCAAAGTGTTAAGAGACTTCCCACATCACTGGTGCTAAGATCTCACAGAGCAGCAACAAACAGAGCAGCCTATTTTCTGTGACAGCAAATGACTGTCTTTTTCAGATCTCTTGAGTCTCAAAAGCCATACAGATGCCTTAGCTCCCCCAAATATTAGTAAGTTATGACACTTCTACTGTATTTCAAACCTTCAGTCTACCAAAGAGCATTTCATGCTGGAGAAAGCTTCCCAGAAAAAAAAAAAAAAAAAAAAACCAAAAAAACCAAAAACCCCACAAACCTTAATTTTCCTTTCTAAACATCAAAAATTAGCATTCTCTATCCATAATATCTAGGAAAATTAAAATATCTTCTCCTCAGTCCTGACAACTAGTCTTTAATTTGCTGTCACCTGTGCTTCAGAAAACTTCAGTTCTTTCATTAGGAAAACCCTCCCACCACAGACTTACTTGTTGTGAATGGTTCAGATCTGAGCTACAGTAGCACAGTAATTTATTTGAAGAAATCACACATCCAGATCTAAACCAGCATAGTAATTAGAAAAAAACATTTAAGATTAGTCATCACATTATTTTTAAATTAATGCACATGTCTTTTAGCCTTATATTCAAATTTAAAGCATTTTCTCATTCCACTGAAGAAATTTGAAGTGGTTGTAACAGAAGATTTACAATCATCTGCCCCAACCAAAACAACAGAAGTCACTGTCCAATTTGTTCATTCACGGAAAACCTCCAATACATCCATGTTTCCTCACACACTTTATAAAACTGTAGTACTTGCATATATAGACACATACAAACAGTTTGCAAGCTAGCCCATGAAGATACTGACTACACACTTACAATCAAATGAAGTTATGTCTGAGTAAGAGCAGAAAACAAAAACTACAACAAAATTCAAAATTAAAAACCCACAAGCATCTGTTTCATAAACTGCTCTTCCAGAAGAGGAAGACTCAGAAAGCAAAGGTCTAAGAAACAAACTTCAAACACCAGTGGGATCCAGATCAAACCCACATCCTATGTAATCTGACATATCAAATCACAACCAAGTGAAGACCTACAGTTTTTAATATGTGGAAAACTTAAAAAAAAAAAAAAAACCCAAACCACTGCTAGGTTTGCTAGATATCACAGGAAAATCTTTTGATAACAGAAGCGTTTTGCATGTAAGAAATTCATAGCCTCAGACTGTGAGGCTGAGGAATCCAGCATCCAAGTCTATGAATGGAGCACAAATTTCTATGAAGGTTTAAACAACTCTAGTTGTCCCTCCAAAGCCTCTGTTCTCCCCCTGCTAAAGTGACAGTACCTCACTACCCACCCCAATATCCATCAGAGCCTCAGGAGACTCCAACACACTACAAACAAACAAAATCCATGTCTTCTTAATAACCTTCAGATCTGTTACACGAATGTTTTGCTGGAGGAAATGCCTGAGTGAGTAGCCTTAGACAACTGTTTTACATTAAGGAGGAAGCACATCAATTTACTGCATGAGTACTACCGCGATGCACTTCCAGGAGGTACAATGTTGCAGCCACAGTTGCCATTTTCAGTGCCTGAGAATAAACATGAAAGCTACCAACACTAGGTTGCAAAAGAGCACTTTAAGCACATTGCTATTTACAAAAGTAGAGGTAATTATGATGCCAGAGGTGGATCCCAAATAAACAGACTTGACTAATACTGACAAAAAAAAAAATCCAAAGCAAAACAAACCCCGAGATGTACAATTATTATTACTTAGTAACAGTAGGAAAGCTGCTTGAACAGCCTCAGTCACTAACGGTACTACCAACATATAACCAAAAAACCGCTGGACAAAGATGCTGTTTAAAAATGTGAGCTTATGTCAGAAGCTATGGGTAGAGGAGAAACGAGGAAAACACCGTTCTCCCCGACAGCTTACCTGATCTGGACTTGATGATGTCGCTGAACTCGCTGTGTCCCCCACCAGGTCCTTCTTCCTGCTCGGAGAAACGGGCCATGCTCGAGGGCTGCGGTGTGCCACGGGCGGAGCCTAAATCGGCTGGGAGAAGGCTCCCATGGAGGGCCACGGCTCAGCACCTACAGCACAGGAGCAGGAGCAGAAAGGCACGATAACTCCACGGGCCGTGCCAGGTGGGACTCCGCGTGCGATGGGAGGGATCGGGGATCGCTGGCCATGCCCACGCGAGTCGAGAGGCAGCCGACCTGCCACTCGCTGTGCCCCTGCAGCGGGACACCTTATGGTGGCATTTAAAAAGTGGGATGGTCTTGAAGGTGCAGCAGCACAGCTGAATCCTCAGCCGCGAAAGCCAAGCTTCACTCAGCCTTGGGCGACAGGGCGCCCCGTGCCCAGCCGTGCCCCCCAGAGGGGCAGGACACGGCCCTCGCCGGACACCACCGCGGGTCACCCGGCTGGCACCGAGGGGACAGCCCCGCTGGAGGGGCGGCACAGCGAGGGAGCTCCGCTCCCGCCGCGCTGGGGCGTGTGCCAGCGGCAAAGGGGCACAGTCAGGCGCTGCCCCGGCCGGCCCAGGGCGCGACAGCCACGTGTGGGAGAAGCCACGCAGCCCCTCTCCCGGGCGGGGCAAGCGGAGCTCCGCGGGGCAGGCCCCGGGCACGGCCGCCCCGGCAGAGCGGCCGCCGCCCCCGCTCCCCCGGCGGGGATTTTGACCCGGCAGCCGGCCGGGCGTGCCGGCACCTCCTCCCCGCGGGATGCGCGGCCGCAGCAGCGGCGCCGCCGCCCTCGGGCACCCCTACGGCGGAGCCGCTCCTCGCCCCGGCTCCCCGCGGCCGCTCCGTCCCGCCCGCAGGTGCGCCCGCCGCGGGCACTGCCCCCGCGCAGCGATGTTACCGGGGCTGGCAAACAAACTTTCTCCGCCGAGCCCCTCCCGGCGCGGCGGTGCCGCCGCCTCTCGCAGAGCCGCCCCGCTCCCGGAGCTGCCGGGGCAGCCGCCGACACCAACTCTCCTCGGCCGCCACTCACCCCTCGGGCACGGCGGCGGGAGGGAGGGGCCGCGCTGCCCCACGGCGCAGCCCTGCTCCTCCTCGCAGCCCAGCTCCTCCTCGCACTCCGTCCCGCGGCAGCGGCTCCCGCGGCGCTGCGCTGGCGGACCCACAACTTTCCGTGCGAGCCACCGCCGTCCGTCCTCCCCCTTCTCCTCCTCCTTCTTCCCCGCCCCTCGGGGCCCGGCCCTGCGGCGGCCCCTCCCTCGGCCCCGGCGCCCCCTTTGTTGGCCGGGCCAGCGCCGCGGGTGCGGGAGGGCCGCCCCCGCCGCGGCCCCTTCTGTTGAGCGAGGGGCGGGGAGGGGCCGGGCCGGGGCGGCGCGGCGGGGAAGGGTAGAGAAGGGTAGAGAGAGGCGGGTCGGGTCCCGGCCGCGCCCCCGCGGGCGGCTGCTGGCACGGCCCCGCTCCTCCCAGGACCTCGCCCGAGGTGGTGGCGAAGTGCTGTCCCGCTCCCCTCCTCCCCTCCTCCTCTCCCGGGCCTTCCCGTCCGCACCTGTGCGCTCCCGCCGCTCCTTCTGCTCCTTCCCCTCCCCAAACAAGCGCAGTTGCGCAGGACTTCGGAGGTGAAGCGCCCCGCGGCGTCCCGTGAACACAGAAGTCAGGAAGTGTGACAAAATTTGAGAAGCACTTAGGAAATTTACAAACAGCCGGAAACAACTATCCCGAAATCCGCCTGCTTTGGCCAGGCGTCTCTGCCTCATCTCACGGGGTCACTTGGCAGTTGTCACTTGGCAGAGACAACTCCTGGGTGGTTTTCGGCTGGGCAAGAAAGGAACGGTTACAGATCAATAAAAATGTGCTGATGCTGGGTGTCTGCAATCATTTCTGATGTATGAACATAATGTATGAACATAAATGCTAGTAAAATATTTAGCTGATACTAATTAGTTTATTGCCGCATTTGCAAACTGGGAATTAACTTACTGATGTTTGCACAGGCAAGTAATCCGTGCTCACCTGTACTGTGAGGCTGCAGAACACGTGGCTATATTTATCTCGATAAGCATTAGTCTGAAGTTTCAGCAGTATCAGAGAGAAACTGTAGCTGAGTAATTCCTCGGTGTTACCTACCAGGCGTCAGGCCATGCAGCCCAAAATAGTTTCAAGGTTAGATGCATTCCCAACACCAAGTACTTCACCACCTAAATTAAGAAAGGCCGGCAGGAAATGAGGTGCAGAATTTATTAGTTAGCAGAAAGGAGGAAGCCCAGGCTTGGCAACGTACTTATTCTTTATCTCCAGGTGAACAGAAATTGGTAGCAATGTGAAACCAGGAAGATTAGTCTTCAAGTCTTTTCTCTTACCAGTACACAGCTCATGGATTTACTAGGCACTACAGATAACAAGATTAAACAATGACTATGTGCATGTTAGCCTAACCTAACTTTGATATTTACCCTTACTTTATTCTTTCCCTCAAGGAAAAAAGAGATACCTCAAAGAAACACAACCTGTAAATTATTATTACCATAATTTTAACTGCATTTAACATTTTTTCCCTCAGCCTTTGATTGGTGCAGCATGTGTGGAACAGGGACTGGGTCTTTTGCTTCTGTATTGCAGGATGGAAGGCCTTGCAGATAGTGTGCTATATTCTTGCCTTTCAAAGAAGCCTAAAAACAAAGATGCCGAGTTTGGATCATTCCATAGCCTTCCTTGGTGATTCAGTGCAAATTAGTTAATTCATCCTTGATCTGCTTAATCCAAACGACTGCATGAAGTTGTAAAGATATTAAAATATAGTTTAAACTGTTCTTATTTATAAAAGGATAATAATAACGTGTCAAAAAATTCTGATGACTGGAATTGTGAATCTATTGAGAATTGCAGGTCATGGACGACAAACGCTGTAAAACATGGACATGATACCTATCAGTGTCTAACTGTAAGGCAGCACTGAGCAATATGCTGGATTTGTTGGAAAGGTACTGTTTGTGTTTATGCCTATTTATTTACATTACACTGAAAAACCTGTACTGCAAACATTATGTTTGTGGTTAGAGGAGCATCGCTTGTTCCCTGCTGCTTTTGACTGGCTTCTCTTCCCCATCCCATGCATTCCCTCTGCGTGCTGGATTTTCAATGCCCAGTAACAAACAAACGCCCAAACACTGGAAACCCACAATGCAGACCCAGCTGTTTTCATACAGTTCAAGAGACATAAAAGCCCAGTGCCCACTCAAGAGTCAGCACAGATGGAGATTGTCACTTTCCACTGCTGGGTATCTAGCAGCAGCTCAGGGATGGGGATCACAAAGCACTGCATTGCCCTGCCTAATGCAGGGAAATGCTAAGTGGAAAAAAAAAACCCTTTCTTTTGTGGGATGCACTGAGGGCATTACTCCCTTCACAGAGGTTACCCAAGACTGCTATCAGGTAGCAGTAACTTTGATTGCTAAAAGCTGCAGTCAAACTGATAAGCAGGAGGGGAGAGCTGGTATATCCCATTTCAAATCTGTATCTAAGTCCAAGGTCCCAATTTCTACAATCTTGCTCTGAAAGCACCCACAAATTAGTTCTCAAAAAGAGATACATTTCAGTTTAACCTTATAGCATTCCATCTTTTTCCTGTTTTAGACAGAATTATTATCATCATGTTCCTTTGAACTGCAAAGTGCCAACAGAAGAGTAATGGAATAATGCGACTGCACACTACCTCGAGGAAGCAGGTTAATTTCCTCCTGGTGTGTTTAAAACATGCCTCTCTCCAGAGCCATCCTCACTCTACTGTTGATCAAAGACTGAGTTTTCTGAGCTAGTTGTTTATACTATAGGCTTCTCATGCCATGGCTATAATTTATATATATACAATTATTTATACATAATATATCATTTTAATAGGGTCTTTAGGCACATCTCCATCAGGGGAAAAAAATTAAAATACCCTAGCCTTTAATATTCTGTACATGTATATGCTTTAGGTCTCTCTAAGTTTTTATTCTAGTGATTGGCAGAATTAGAAAGTGGTGACTAGCACAATTTTAAAGTCAAGCAGCAAACTCTCCACTCAGTTGTACTTCTAAAACCTATATTCACCTACAAATACCTACTGACCATTAACATCATGTGGATTGTGTGGCACAGCTTACTTTTCAGGCCCTTGAATTTTGACCAAAAAAAATAAATACCTTATTCCTTGGTGCATGAAGACAGTGTTATTGTAAGGCTCTGAACTCACCTTGTCTCTTTCTCTTTTCTTTGTTCTTAGTATTTCTGGTTTTAGAATACGCTCATAATTGACAGGATTACAATATAACTAGGAATTTTGTGTATCTCGTTACCTTGAGATTGACTGCTATAATAATGCATGTGCCCATTCATCAATGTTTTGTCATGATTTCAGAAAACCATTCCATACTCAGGAAGACAGGAGATACCAAATGGATTGCTTTGTAATTAGAGCATTTTTATTGCTCCTTTCTGCATAGCCTATCATGTTGTCAGTCTCAGTTATCAGATGAGGAAAGCTGTTACTCAGCTGACTTTCTTTCCTTTACAGAACTTGCATCAGAATTCAAGTTAACAGCTCCTTGGTGCTTTGATGCTGACTTTTGTGCACTAACCAGTTAGTAAAATTATCTTAATATTTTCATTATCTCTAATCCAAGGATAAAAATATATTAAAATATATTAAAAATAATATATATATATATAATATATTTTTATTTTAAAATATATTAAATATACATTCTCTCTTTGTATGTTCCTCTTGTGAGAAAAATTACCAAGTTTTCCTAAAAGCTTGGGTCGATTTTTTCTGCAACTCCTTTGGCAGTACCTTTGAAAAACTTCAGTACATCAGGATAAAACAGTTGACTTCTCATCCTTTCTTCTTCTGGAATTTAAAATTTCTGGAGTTATCTTTGTTTCAAGTGTCTCACACTAAAATATTCAAAGTCAGCACAATTTTTAAAGGTCGACAGCATTTTCTACCTCTGACTTTTAGGATGGGATCTGATTTTAATGTTAAATTGTTTATTTTTTATTCCAAAGTCAACTGCCTTTGTGTACAAGCTCCTTTTGAGCTCCTCCCAGAATAAACATAGCTTAATAAATTCAACACTGTTTTGCTACACCAAGTTAACCATGCATCAGGAGCTACTAGGTGCAGAGTATAGTCTGAGGCAGAGGGCAGCAGGAATCCTGATAAAGACACCAGCCCAGGGTGCAAGATGCCCTTTGAGCAAAATGCCTGTCAGATGTATCACCAAAGGTCCATCTGCTTTAACCTAGAGACAAAGAAGCGTATTCCCCCTTGTATACTTCCATTCCTACAAGTTTGAATCTGTATCTTCAGTAGATTCTTTCCACTCTATTTGTATCTTATTAGATTTGATATATCTATTGATTTGATCAGATTCAAGGGAATATTGTGTGCGTAAGATATACTGGAAACTTGTACCTTAAGTTTCAGCAATTTTTTATAGCTTCTTTGTAAAACCCCAGAAAACTGCCCCCTATTAACAGAAATTCTTACATCCCTTTAGCTGCAGTGACATTAATTGGATTTACCATAATTTATCATCATTCTGAAGAATATAACCTCTCAAAGTACATTAAATAAGAGTGCATTAATGAACAGTTATAATAATCCATTTACCCTCCCAGCATAACTCTCTTACCTGCAGCAGAGGATTGAAAAAAGAAAACCATCAACAACAGAGATGCCTGTGCAAGACAGGAACCTTTGACCAATACCATGAGGCAATCCCCTACAAGGGCAGGTGTGAGTTCTTAGTCAGAGTCACTACTAACACAAGTTGATGTCTGTTTGTTTATTCCCTTTTTCTGTTTATTTCTCTCATTCGTGGGTATTTTTCAGTGCTGTTCCATTCCCATTTGAATAGCCTGTGCAATATATTGGCATAGGTTTGTTCAGTGGCTAGACACATAAATACATAATGCTTGTACAATTATAGAATATGTACATTTTCTCATCAAGTTTATCAGTTAGGGATTAGGCAAAGAAACAGAATTCCTGTGTTAACAAAACATAGAAACTTGGGTAACTTGCTTCACTTCAGTAACTTGTTTCACTCTTTGTAGTAGGGAAAAATAGCATCTTCCATCACAAGCACATTATCTATTGAGTGAAATAACATGATCATTGGACAAAGACAATTTGGAAACACTTTAAAAATTCAAGATCCCATCAGTCTGCAATAATAATCAGTGGAAAGGATGTTTCTTTGTAAGTCTTTTTTATTTTAAGGGTAGGCAGTGGGAGAAGACACAGTTTATTCTTACTAAAATTAAATAGTACCTCCTTAGTACCCAATGAGTGCTCCTCATATGGAATGACTACACACCAAATCTGGGGAAATGAAACAAAACAAGTTTTCACAAATTATCATTATTTTTTACAAGTATTGTCCTCACTTTAGATCAATTAGGTATGTCACCTTTTCTTGGTTGTTTCCCGTTAAATTATCCACATTTATATTTTGTATTTGACCCCTTAAGATGTTCCCTAATTAGGTTTTACCTAGAAAATTGCCTAAGTGTTAATAACATGTCTCTTTCTGGAAAACACATTAAGGTCTTTAGTGGGATAATGGCACCCCCTGGGACACCAAAGGCACAAGCAAAAACCTGTGCTATGGATGTCCCTTTTTCCCACCCGCTAAACACTTTCCATCCAAGTAAATTCCCCCATAGCTTAGACTTGACATCCTGTGGCTTTTACCTCCCCGAATCGCATAAGCACACAGATGATTACGGGGACTGAGACAGATGCCAGGCTTGAAATACTTCAGCGTTGATCCCTCCAGCTGCAAGACCACTGTAGTCCAGAAGATTGTAGCAGTGCTCACTCTGCTCTGAGCAAATTTGCAGATTTGGCTTTCTGACCACAGATGATGTGGCCAGAAGGCTTGGCCAGGTTTTGCCACATTTGCCACTGCGAGTGTGCCTTGAGAGCCTCTAGAAAGCCTCTTTTTAAACTAACTCTTTATGGGCTTGAAAGACTACCACCATCCTCCAATTTCCATAACATGCAGGTATTATGTGCTGAAAGCTTAAACGATTTTTAATTACTACCACTAAGTGGCTTTTTCTTTCCCTGAAATGACAAGGACTTTGGCTTTTAACTAAGATAAATAAAGTCACTGTGATAACACTAGATCTGAACAGGTCAGATTCACATGTGTGCATAGAAATTAATTTAATTCTGAGCAAATAAATAGCCTTTTTCGTCAACAAGACAAATTTTGCGAATTAAGTTTTATACCCACCAAAGACTTAAGTTACAAGTTTGTTTTTTGGCACTTGGTGTTCTGTGGGTATGCCTGTAAAACAGGAGATATTCTGCAAGCTGTGGCATCTATCAAAGCCACACTGCTTAGGTAAACCCTCTCTTGGTCACCTGGCATTTTCACATTCACTTTACAAGAAATCAGCCTGAATGAGGTCACTTAGCACATGATTCAGTCAAAGCTATTTCAGCTAATGGTTTAAAACATATTGATGAAGCCTCTCATCCTCCTCCCAAATCTCTCTTTGACTGGACAGCCCCAGTGTGGCGAAGGACAGCGATCAGCTGCTTCACCGCGCTCCCTTCTCCACATACCACTATCTGGCTGGCCATGTGCTGGAATGTCTATTGTGAAATTTCCCCTACATGAGCAGGAAATCTGGGCTGCTCCATTAGGGCAGCCCTCTGTCTGCTTTGCACAGCCAGGGCAGAGGTTGCGGTCTGAACTTAGTGAGTGCTGTAGGTTCCCCAGAGGGAAGAGTACTCTAATTCTTAATTTATTTATTTTTTTTAATTCAGTGGGGAGTTAGTTTAAAATTATAATATTTCCAGAAATGATGGGGAGCCACAACACCCAGCACACAGGGCAGTGTTGACGGGCATGAGCTTTGCACCTCAGATGGGCAGGAATGCCAGTGGTGCCCTTGCTAGTACTGCTGGCACAGTGGGGCTGTGCCTGCTGCCTGACTGCCATAGGAACTGTGTGCCTAGTTCAAGGAAAAAGGTTTGGCTCAAAGCACACGGTTCTTCAAGGAACAAGAAATTTGCCTATACTTTAAATTATTTTGCAGCTACTTAAATAACTGCTGTGCTAGAAGCTCTGCAGGCAGTAATTATTCTTCCATTTTCTTCTATTAGGCAGCCCTGAACTGAGCCATGAAAATTGCTTTGAAATCACAGCAGACAAAGAGGAAACTTTTGGACGTAATTTATTTTGGGATGTTCCAACCCAGAGCTATCGTCCAAACCAAAAAAGAAGTCCAGCCCTGCCAAGTCCTTAATCATTGAAAAGAAGAGACCACAAAACTGAATGAAAAGAGGATTGGAACAATTTTCCTACTCTGAAAAAGCCCCTTTTTTGGAGTTACTGTCAGACGAAAATAAGGGAGCAACAAAACCCCTTAATACATCACTGATGTATCTTACTGGAGGTTACTTGCAGAGGCCAAACCTTTGAAATGGGAGCAATGCTGGAGTTTGTCCTTGCTGGGAGAGAGCTCATATGTGGACTTTGCATTTCAGAAAATAAAGCCTTACTAGCATTTCAAGGGAAATTTTCAACCATGTGAGTGCAAGAGTCTTCTTAAGAGTGTCCACCATACTCAGCCATCAGAACATAACTGTAACATAATATCCAATCTCTTACACTTCAAGCACTTATGGACTCATCTTAAAAACACTTAGCAGGTACAGGATGACCTGTACCAGGTACAGATATTATTTCTAGCACAGAAGTAACAAACAGCTCACTCCATCAGGATCAGGTGCCATTGAGTTTGACAGAATATAAACACAGAGCAACAAAGTCTCTCAACCATACAGCATATATCTGGAACCAGGAACAAAGGTATATTTTAAAACTCTGTGAATATGATCTGACAAATGTGTAACTTCTGTTAAAAGGACCAATGTATATTTAAAATACAAATGTATCTAAGTTCTGGCAAATTCAGAGTTTAAATCTAGTCTGGAATATGATACCACAAAAATAAAAAAAAAGATAACAGTAAACACAATTGTATGACTGAGAAAGCTAGCTGGAAATGGGAATTAGCAAAACCTGTGATACATTTGTTATGAAATATAAAATCATCTGTACTATCCCTCAAGTGGCAATCACCATCTAGCATTATTGTGTCAGCATCAAACCAGAAAAAGTCCTGATGGGGAGCAGAGTGCAGTACAAAACTGGTTTTAGCAAGTGTATTTCATCTTGCAATGTGAACGCTCACAGCACAGTTTTGCTCAAGTTACTAAATACAAGAGCACAGTTCCTGGGAAAAAGCCCTGCAGGCTCACCCCTCATCCCCTCCCTTCACTGTTGTTTGCTTAAACCATTTGTGTGTACTTAACTCCCCAAGACATGTTCCTTGGTGTCTCAAGGTGGGATTCAATGAGCACATAGACACCCCATGTGGGCCAGGGACCCTGCAGTCCCAGGCACCTCTGTGTCCTGCACCTCAGTGCATTTCTGCCCTCTCGATGCAGCCAGTCCTACCTCTCAACCTGCCCTCAGCCAAGTGGGTGGTAGAAGCCAGGAGAAATGCTTTTACTCCTATTTCATCTATTACATTTACTAACCTGTTCTTAAACAATCTTTGAAGCCCTTTTTTTTTTTTTTTTTTTTTTTTTCCTGAGCCAGTCCTCCCTGTCATATGCATGGCACGAAAGCCCACTTAGCACTATTCATAAGCATTTATTTCCTCAGGAACCATGAAAGTTTACTTTTCCACAGAAAGAGCTTTGCTATTCTGAGCATGGAACAAGGTGCATGACTGCTTCTGGAGGTCCCACTCCCAAAAGGAGAGTAAAGCAAAACCCTGGATGCCTCCCAGTGTAGTGCTGAGCCCAAAAAGCTCAGAGAAGAACCAAAAAGGATCTTTTCCAAAAAGGATAAGCAACGCCTCAATTAGATGTTCTTAATACAACACAGAAAATTATTAAAATACTGTAAGAGTATTACAGCAAGCTCTGAGAGGAAGGTACAAGATGCATGTGACCCACCATGCTGACCAATATTGAGGTAGATGTGCTGCAAGTGAGACTGCCTGGCCTCCAGGAGTGTTTGTGGCAAGATCTGCAGGGAGCAGGAACAGCTTCGAGATGTCCAGCTGCTACAGCAGAAAACCAGGTGAGTTCTGAGCACACAAACACCTCTTCACATCCTGACATTTTGCCACTTCCCTGTGGTCCACTACATAGCTCTATTTGTTATTTCTCATCAGAAAAAGGCTTTGGGCCATTTCAGTCCTATGTTTCAGCAATGCCCAGACCTGAGCTGCCAAAAAATGCAACGCCTCCATCCTACAGTTACACCACAAGTCATGAATAATAATAACACCAAGGATGTGTGTCTCTGTTACAGCTGCAGCTCAGTGAGCCTTTTTGTCCTATTTTTTTTTTTTTTAATACCTCCTTGGACATAAATTTGACCTACAGCAGGTCAAAAATACAACCCAAACATTTAAAAATCACAATTCTTAACTTAGATGCCATTAAAATATACTGCTCACCTGAAACAATAGGTGATTCATTTGCAAAAGCTGATTATTTATTTATAAAGATGCAAAGTACAAAGGTGCACCAAGATCTCAGGGCAAGACAGTGAACCAAGCAGTGTGTTATGAAACCTTCCACTGATACCTGCAGAAGATAAAGTATTCAGGAGAGGGAGAAACACAACAGGGAGAACATCCTAACCATTAGAACAAAAGCAGGTAAGGGTTTCCTCTGACTCCTCCATTTCTGTCAGAAATAAATACTTGAATAGCAAATTTTAAAATGGCAACTGGCCTGACCTGTAATATTATCAAATTCCACAAATCTTTCAAAGGGCCTTCCTCTGTTTCCCTGCTCCACATCCTTTTCCCTCAAAAACCAAAGCCTAGATTTTTTTCGGAATAGTAACTAATAAACAGAGGAACAAGAAAACTAGCAACAGGAAAGAATATTACCAAATTCAAATATGAAAAATGAAGGAAAACAAAACCTTTTCAATAATGCCTGAGGAAGTCTACAAGTCCTAGGACTGGTCAGAAAATCTGTTTTTCAATTCCAAGGATTGATTTTTGACTTTAGGATACACTTTTAAATTCGGCCAAATCTGTCATTAATCATTAATGTAATACTAATTTCTCTGTGTTCTTTTCTATACACATTCAAGATTAACCATTCCAGCATGAAATTTATAACTAAATGATACAACTTTATTTGTAGAGTATTTCCATGGGTGGTGAATTAATTCAGATGCTCTATACATTCTCTTCACAGGGCATCCTCTCCAAACATTAATCATGGCCAGTTTGGTTGCTGAGCTATGACATCTTCATGAGCTTCACCTGCTGCAGAAAGGAACAAAGAAAGCAGTGCAGATCCCTAACTCACCATCCCCCATCCTGACAACAGCAGAAGCACCCCAGCATCCCTCACAGACAACAGGCACAGGGGGATAGCACCAGCCCATGACCTGATCTTCCTAGGTTTGGCCCCAGCCCATCACTACAGTCTTTACTGGAGTTAAGCCTCTAGTTTTTCTTCCTTAGCAGGAATTTTCCACCCACTGTTTCAGCTGGAAACTATCCACCTTCTCACACCAGGAGAGGCAGAGAGCAGTGAGGGAGAGCAAGCCCCAAACACTACATAAGATTTTACATTTGCCAGATGCCCCAGTAAGTTTGCCAGTCTCCCTCGGCTGCGGGGATGGGGTCTCAGATCCACCAGCAGAGCCAGCCACTCCCATCAGAGCGCCAAACCAGCAGAAGGAGTTTCTCCCGTCGGCATCCATAGTTCTGCTGCCTAAGAATTTTCCAGCCCTCACAGACTGGAACAAAGAGGCTTTTCACAGAGATCCAGATTGCCTCCAGAGCCTGTCCCTTCTTTATTTACAGGAAGGCTCTTAGGTTTAGTCTGGAAAGGTCTGCAGATTGCGAGGGGCCTCTAGGGGAAGAATTCTGTCAAAGAATGTATCCTGCAATGCATGCTCAAAAGGGTCTGCTTTCTGATTAATTTCATCTTCCCTGGAAATTAACTTCACAGCCCCATTTGCCTTTCACACCTTTATGATCTGTTTTTTCCTGAACAGCTCAATTACTTTGGATTTGTAGAGCCAAAGACAAGACAACTTGCAGGGCCTAGTGGGTACCTGACTAGAAATTTCTGTGATAAGGCTGGGCCAGAGGTCAGATTTCTCCTTTTCATTCTGCATCTCCAGCACTGCTGTTCAGCTGACTCAAAAGCAGGTTGCTTCAGCACTGAGGGGAGCAGCGGGAGAGTGATGTCAAGGAGAAGGTAAACACACATTGCCCCTTCTGGCCACCACTATACATATCTACTCTAACATAAACTGCAGCACAGAAGTATGATGAGAATGAGGGCCCAAAGCAGATATATGTTTGGCTCCAACGAACACTGATAGTGACCTCAAACTGCTCATCTGAGCTTATTGTTTTCATACACAGGAAAAGGATTTAGTAACATACACATTGATATTTAGTCCTATTTAGCCACCCAAGAAGGTGTTACATATAGGACTGATGAGACACTTGTAAGTTCCTGAGGCAGCAAAATTCAGATATCAACTCAGATCTGTCAAACACCTGGATGACTCAGGACTGAGCAAAGTTCCCTTGCAAACAGGGGGAAGGGCCATTGCCTCTATCCATCTGGTTGCTGCTGTATACTAGGGGACAGAAACAGCAATATTATCAGCTGATAATAAGAAGGTCATATTTATCTTAGCTATCATGTACTGGTTTCCCTCTGATTATGCCAAGAAGGTAGATACCTATTATTCCTTTCATCTGGCACAGGTCTTCTCTCTTTCTGCTTATGTACATGTAGGCAATGGGCCCAGCTACTCAAGGTAGTATTATCAGACCCTACTTTTATAGCAGTCAGACTCCCCAAGATGTGGAGATATCAAATAAGGAAGATAGCATTGAATCTGTCACCCATTGTCATCAACCACATCAGGCACATGTAAGGACAGGACTATATTCAAGCTAAAACAATAATGGAGTTTTGGGAGCACATAGCATAGCAAGGTATTTTTAATTGGGATGATCTCATGATAGAAAAGAAGCAAGATTTAAAATAGATTTTGTTGGGTCACCTGATACACATAGTAGACAAGTTTTCATGCACAAAATAATCAGGAAGCAGTTGCTTTAATGACAGAAGAGCATCTGGTACAAAATGCTAGCAGCAGCAGTATGGAAATGAGGTGAAAAAGCATGATGGAAGAAATTACCCAAAGAGTCTCATCAAATAAAAAAATCCTGCATTAGCATGATGGGATAACTTGGGATACTTTGGAATTTTATGACCCATGCACATGCATTATGAAATTGATACTTTTTTAAAACAGTCCTGCTATCATGCTAGGATGAATTGCTGGAATGGTTTCTTCTGAAAAAATACAGTGCAGCCAGGAAGATCTGCAGCACTAAGATTTCATTTTAGTGAAATTGCCATTAACGTTTTTCACTAATGTCAGCCAATGTTCTCCTTAGAAAAAGGTATCCTTTCATACCCTGTATTTAATTTGATTTCACCAACAGAATTCT